CTGTCGTCGGGATCGGCCAGAGGGTCAAGATGAGATCGAATGAGAAGAAAGACTTGGGCACTCTGGGTAAGGACTAAAAGACTCCCTAGGAATGTCCTTGCAGTGGCTTTGTGTGTAGCCTGGCTCGTACCACAAAAAGAGTTGGGAGTGGTTTAGTTCAGGCTTCCCCCAGTCTGGTGCCCCTGCAGATGGATTAAAACTCCCTCCTAGAGGGACACCAGATTGAGCAAGGCAGGGTTAGTTTCAAAGGAGGCTGTAAGCCTTTTGGCAGGGGAATGGGTTTCCTCAAAGACTTATTCACTGGACATTTTTAAACAGAGGTTAGATGGCCAATTCTTTAGCTGTGATTGCAGTGGGTAGGACTAGATGACCCTCTGGTCCCTTCCGACCTTACAATTCCATGTTTCTGTGAGGCCAGACTCCACTACATCTGTTGGGTGGGTGGAGGAAATGGGTTCACTCAGCAGGAAGTGGGTAAGGTGTGAAGAGCTGGCATCCTGCGAGCTCTTTCTGTAAACAAGACAGGTGTTTCCTGGTGCAGGGTTCTGAGAATGTGAGCCATCGTTTTAAAGCCCTTTAAAAAGTCTTTTAAAGGGTTTTCTAGTTCAAGGGTGTGTGTGCAGTACAGACCTACAGAAGGGCTAGTCATGCAGCTTCACTCTGCATTTTGCCCTTTCTAGCTGTTTAATTTTAGACGAGCCACCCTGCCATTTATATATTACATTACACCCCACATTTTCCGTCAAGGAGCTGAAGGTGGTGCACGCAGTCGGTCCGCCCCCATTTTCTCCACGCAACAATCTTGTGAGGTTGGTTAGGCTTAGATGTAGTGACTGGCACCCCAGTGAGCTTTGTGGCTGAACATGGATTCGAACCCAGGTCTCCCAGCACTCTTAAGCACCACACCACACTGGCTCTCATTTTTTGGAATGCCTTGGGTGCAGAAAGGCCAAAAAAGTGTACGCATATGTTACTGCTTATTTATTTAAGTGTTCAAAACCTGCACTTTCTCAAATGTGTGCCAAGGCGGTTGATGCAGCGTGCAAGGTTATAATTGGGGAAAGCATCCGTTGTGTTGCTTTATGCTGCAGGGTTTGGGGGCAGACTGCAGCCGTGTGCTTAAAAGGTGTTGCATCTGTCCTTTCTTCCTCCCACAGGCTACGTGCTGGGCCTTCTGATGATGGTGATCATCATTGCAATTGGAGCAGGCATTGTCGTGGGCTATGTCTATAAGAGGCAAGTGAAGGGTCTTTTCATTGATCGTTTGTATGTTGTTATCTTCTTCTTCTTTTGCATTTATTATATATCCCTTCCCCCCCCCCCAAGGAACTCTCTGTGGGGTACATGGTTCCCCCACCCCCTCATTTAATCCTGTGAGGCTGAGGGAACACAGCGACTGGCCCAAGGTCACACCCAGTGTGGATTTGAACCCTGGTCTCTCAGGTCCTAGTCCGACACTCTTAAACACTGCACCACATCAGCTGCCCCTCATGTAAAACATTCTCAGCAGATCCCACCCTTTGGAACTCCCTGCCTATTGACATCAGTCAGGCGCCTTTGTTGTACTCTTTTCAACGCCTGCTAAAAAAATTTGGGCAAAGCCCATCCAGGCATTTAGAACGTTGACATTTATTTTGATGTGTTTTTTTAGCTTATTGCTGATTTTAATTATTTTTAAAATGTTTTAAATAGCTGTTTTTCATAGAATTGTGGAGTTGGCAGGGACCCCGCAAGGGTCGTCTAGTGCAACCCAGAAATCACAGCTAAATAATTCCTGACAGATGGCTGTCCAACCTCTGTTTAAAAACTTCCAACAAAGGAGAGTCCGCTAGCTTGTGAGACCATCTGCTTAGATTCCAAAAGTTATTCCTACTGTCGAGTTAGAACCTCCTTATAATTTGAACCCATTGGTTCAGCTCTTACCCTCTGGAGCAAGCTTGCTCCATTTTCCATGTGATGGCCTTTAAATATTTGAAGCTGGCTACCGTATCCCTTCTCAGCCTCCTCTTTCCCAGGCTAAACATACCCAGCACCTTCAACTGTTCTTCATAAGGCTTGGTTTCCTGACCCTTGATCATCTCAGTCACCCTCCTTTGCACTGAAATTCTACTTTTACTGATAACTTTTATTCTTTTTGTAAACTGCTTTGAGGTTTTTTCATTTTGCGACCAAACAGTGTATAATTTTATGAAATAATAAAGAGTGTGCATCAGTTTGGAACCTGCACCACCACCCCGTCTGACACCCCCCTTCTCCCTCCCTCCCTCCCCAGGGGCAAAGATCTGAAAGAGCAGCACGAGCAGAAGGTCTACGAGCGCGAAATGCAGCGGATCACTTTGCCGCTCTCGGCCTTCACCAACCAAGCCTGCGAACTGGTGGACGAGAACACGATAGAGGTGCACACGAACCAGACCCCCGTGGAGGATACGCACAATGGCGATGCCCCACTGATGGGTCAAGCGGGCACTCCTGGAGCCTGAGGAACATGGGTGGGGGGCACCCTAGGAGATGCCCTGCTGGCACCCACAACGGCTGAGACTCCTCTCTCTTCTCACCAACGTACGTGGGAGTTTCATTTGTATTTCTGGTTTTCTTTTTCTGTTCGGGGAGGAACAAGAAGCCTGGAAGAGGCTCTGAAGACGTGCAAGGACTCGCTCACCCATGGTCATCCATTGTTGGGGCGTTTGGGTCCCAGCTGCATGAAACTGAATGCGACTGGACGGTCTGGTGTGGCCTGAGCCTCTTGCGAGGTCCAACTCTTCCTTCTGCCCCCGATGGAGGGCAGGAAGAGAAAATGCAGCACCTGCCTCCTGCTGTATAGACTGCACAGTCTCTCTCCAGTCAGGAAGTACCTGTCTATATCGCCTCCTCTCGATCTTCTTCCACGGAGATGGCTTCCACCGGTCCTGGTGCCTGCAAATCTGTTACAAGTGGGGAGCTGTAGTGTAGGTGAGCTTGAAAAGCAAAAGTATTCGAACATTTGAATGTATTTTTATTTTTTCCTAAAGTGGAAGGCTGCTGTCAGAAGCAGCATGGCCCCTCCTTACAAGCCCCTGTATTTAACAACCACAGAGTTTTCTTTATAGCTCGGTGCTTAAACTGCCTTTTCAAATACAGTCGAGGAGGAAGCTTCCCAAATAGGAGGGCTTTTTTTTTAAGGTGAGGGTGGGTGGGGCTGTCCCTAGTGAGCTCTCTGCAAAATATGTATCTTCTGTCTTAAGTACTCCAGGACTTCTAAGGCCAGGGACAGATTCTTACATGCTGGGAGTTTCAATTTACAGCCATCTTTCCCTTCGTGATCTTTGTTGAGCACAGCAAGACAGCTCAGGTATGTTTCCCTCTCCCCTTCCAGCACACTTTGGGGTTTAGCAGATATGGAGACGAAAGGGATCCCCAAAGGCATTCTGCAGAGGGATGCAGTTTCCAGAAAGGCGACTTCAAGGCAACGCTAGGACCACAGGAGGGAAGAGGGCTCTTGTGCTCAAATCCTGCTGGCAGGTTTCCTACAGGTAGCCGATTGGCCTCTCAAGAGGGAAGGATTCTGGGTGAGATGTTTCACTGGCTTCATCCAGCAGGCTTCTCTTAACATTCTTAGATCTTTCCAGACGTTGCCGGCTCAAGCGCAAAAGCTCCTTCACCTCCATTTCAGAACCAGCCAATGGCTAAATGATGGATGGCTCTCCCTTGCATTGGGGTTAGTAGTTCAGGGTTTTTTTCATAGCGCTGGGCCAGTTCATCTGTAGCTGCTGCGCAAGCCAAGTGGTGGGGTTATTTATGCGATGGCTTTGTCAGGCAGCATTTGAGGCAGAGAACCAGGATCAAGGAAGTTCTCCTGCGATGCTCTTTGTTAGGCGTAAAGCACACATACTTCTGTTCCGCCAACAAATAACTCACTTTAGCCATACTGACTTTTTAAAAAAAAATACAACCTTCGCCACTCAAGGAAGGTAGACCAGCTGCTGAGAGTGAAGGTTTCTTGTACACTCCGGTTATGCAAGACAGAGATGGGAATTTTTTTTTTTTTAATAAAGACGTTTCAATGCCTTTGAACATCATTTCTTTGTTAGTGTTTTTAAATACCTCATGAACTATGAAATAAAATAAAAAAGAACTGTTCAGGCTGTATTTGTGCTATTCTGTGGAATTGTCAAGTATTGCAACTGGAAAAACTACAGCTGCCTTATTTTTGAGTCAGATTGTTGATCCACCTAGGCCAGTGTTGCCTGCACTGACTGGCAGCAAAGGTTCTCCCAATAGTCCCAAATTTTATCCACTTAAAAAGCAATATTCCACACCTTTTCATCTCTGGTATTCCTTAAAATGGGGAAGCTAGTAGTGTGGTGAAATAGTAGGTACACAACCCCCACCCCATCAGTTGAGGAAAAGTTTTGAACCCTTTCTCCTACTCTTCAAAATATTCTGGTGAGCTCATCTATGTTATGGTGCTTTCCCCCCATTTTGTAGCCAACCCTAAACTGCTGGGGTGAGAAGGGTAGAAAATTTTTCTTGGGTTGGAGATGAGCCTTGCTTACGTTAAAAGCAAGGATGCGAGAAGGAAGCTCTGGCCCTCCAAAATTCCAGCAGTCCCAACCAGCGGAGCCAATGGCAGGGGATGATGGGAATTGTAGTCCATCAACAGCCGGAACACAGCAGGTTCCCCATCCCTGCCTTACAAGAATGCAGAAGGCAAGGGTAGCTTCACAAAGCAGAAAGGTGGCCACCCTTCCCAAAATGCACTGCAGCAGTTTGGTTGCTGCTGCTCCCCTTAATCTCTGAAAGTAAAACTTGGGGGGAAAGTCCCCAAGGCCTCCCCTCTGATGCCCACCTCCCCGCTTTGTCCCACCACCCTTTTTATATCCCAAGTTGTTCAGCACAACTAATGGTACATCTGCAACAGCCCTCAGAACTGGGTTTCAAGACCAGCAACAGCAAACGCTGCTTTGATCCAAAATTAGCCACATTTTGAAGATGTTGGCTGTCTCTTTTAACACACAAGCCACTTTTGTTTCCATAGGATAACGTTTATTGCTTTTAATTTAGTCAAAAACGTTTTGGTGTGCAATCAACAAGAGTCCAGAATCTCTTGAACACGTGATCCAAGTTTCTCCTCTCTTCGCCCCTGTTTATAGAGGGGGACCCACATTTATTAAAAGAGGAAGGAGGGAGCGGAATCTTTATTGAAACGCCCTGGGCCTGGAGACCACCACTGGGGTGGGGCTCAGAAGGCCCAGTGGCTCTTAACCCTTGGAGGATTAAGCCGGATCACTGGAGTTTAAAATGGCTTGGCTAGTAGGGACCTCATGTCTTTTTGGCTGCTCTAAGTAGGAAAGTGGGCTGCTTGAGGTCCAGATCCATGGTGCAGTCTTAGGGGAGAGGACCGAAAGCCACGACGACTGTGCGTCCGTCCCAAATTCATGCTAGGTTGGGTTGGGTTTCCCAAGGAAAGTGACTTTGCTGAGGCCCACCAAGAACAGGGGAAAGATCCGGCCAAGTGAAACCATGTAGTGTGTGTGCTGTCTTCAACAGAGAAGACAGAAGCTAGGAATGGTTCCCTTTCCATTCTTGGTATATCCAGGAAGAGTGTGTGTGTGTGTGTGTGTGCATGCCAGAACCAGTGGTGTCTTAGTTCTAAGGGAAAGAGAAGTCTGAAATGGAGGACAGAGGTAGGTGACTTAATCAGCTTCAACGAGGGCTTCACACTAGCAGACCCAAATAAGAAAGTGGTCTCATTCCCTGTCAGCTGCAATTAAAGGATGAATTGAGAAGTAGCTCTTTGCTCAAACCCAGCTGTTCTAGACCAAGAAGCCCCCACAGTGTGAGGCCACTGAGCCCCAAACTAGGACAGTCTCACCCTTTCTGTTCCCACCGCAAAGTGGCTCAAACAGCCGAGAGCAGCCTGCTACTCTGGAGCAACCCTTTGTGCTCACCGGAGGTGGTTCTTCCCCTTCTGACATGGGGTGTTGGTGGAAGCCCAGTTCGCAAGTTGGCTGTGTAGTGTTTTTGAACGTTTGCTTGGAGGTATTTGTAGAGATGAGGAAGAGAAGGGGGGTCCTTTGCCGGAGAGAGGCTGTCTTTGAGCTGCTCCTGAAGAACTTCCCAACTCCAAGAGGAGTGAGGAAGGCAAACACACTCCCTCTGCCTGCAAGTAACTTCTGCTGACTCTTCCATGCCTTTTCCAACAGCAGACAAGGCACCCAGGTTGGGGGGCAGCCCAGGCTCAGGAACCTTTATAAACACGTGCAGTCTTTTTGAGGCCCAAGGCACCACTATGATAGAGACCTGCAAACAGGGCCTCACAATTTTGTGTGCTAGAGAGTGTCAGTACTAAAAGTCACAAGCAGGACAGGATTCTGCTTCCAGAACATGCCACAAATCCACAGGAGGAAGGTAGTCCAAGGTGAGGTGACGGAAGGCAAATGGGTGCCTTGTTAATGTCCTGTGAGGATTCGGAACAACAGCTCTCTCTCTCTCTCTCTCTCTCTCATGTCCCTGCTGCCCCACTCCCTCCCCACAGGCAATTTATGGAAAGTGCGCACAGGGCTTGAGGGCTAGGTGAGGTTTTCAGGTAGCTTATCCCGGATCAGCCCGTGCTGCATGCTGACGTTGTGATCCAGCAATTCCAGTTCTGACGGAAGAGGGATTGCCAGTTCTCCCAGGTACAAGGAAAGGGCTTCAAAAGAATCTTCCAGTTTGGAAAACGGGGGCCTAGGCAGAGAGGAGGGAAGGCAGTAAGTTAATGGTGTCTCTCTACAGATCAGCAGTCACCTATGGAGAGCAGGAATTTTCTCCAGGCGACCAGAAAGAGATGTTTAAAACCAGCACCCAAGTGACTGAAGCAGGTGTGCTCGGAAGGACTGTGGTTTAAGGAACTCCCACCAGGACAACCACAATGGAATAAGACAAAAGGGTTTGTGCTGGACCAATGGAAATTATAGTCAAAAACTTCAGGTGATAGGAGGCTGATGGAGAGACTTCTGAACACCCCCAGTCTATTGTGGCATTTTAGGCTGCTCCCCTTCTTCCATCCCCTGTGTTGAGGCTCCAAAAAGGAAGGCAGGAGGCCAGCCTTTCACATGCCCAGGGTGGTGCAGCCTGGTCTGCCTTGCACAGAGGAAACAAGAGCTTGTTCCAGCTCGGGAGGGTGCAGTTTCCTTTGGTTCCTGCTTCACGCTCACTTGACAGAAATAGTTCTTTTCAACAGCAAACCGCACTGGCAGGAAAAATAACACTTTAAAAGAAAAAGGGAGAGAGCAAAGTCGAAACAAAGGAAGTGCTCCGTCCCCCGTGAGGGTGGCCCACACGCAAATATGCCCCTCCCTCAAGCAGAATGCCAGGAACAGACTCCATCAGCCTCCACCAACCTGATACCCTTTGGTCGTTTCTGGACCACAGAACCTCTCAGCCCCAGGCAGAATGGCACCCTCCAAAACTTCTGGAGGGCAGCAGGTTGGCACCAGACCAAAAAGAAGCAGGAGGGTGCACATCCAAGATCTCCCTTCATCCTGCTTTGACCCCTCCAGAAGCCTCACCTGCTCTCTGGCTCTAGCCTGCAGCAGATGGCTGCCAGGGGGAAGAAGGCCGGAGGGCAGTCGGTGGGAACAAACTTCTCCCAGAAGAGCTTCACGTTGAGGCCAAAATCCAGAGTGCGGGGGAGGCAATCTGGATCGGCATACACTTGTCCGATGATCTGAAACAGAGAAAGGAGCCGTCAGCGTCACGGAAAGCAGGACTCGGCTGTGTGCTGGCGCCACCACCTGGGGCTGCAGGTGATAGGAAGGAGGAACTGAACCAGATCCGAGGAGGGAAGCCTGGATAGGAACAGGCCCTTAGGAGCATTTGCATGGGAGAGGAGAAAGCAAGACGGGAGGGCAGGAAGGGCCATGGTAGAACATCTGGCCTTTCAAGCAGAAGGTCCCAAGTTCAGTCTCCAGTGGCATCTCCAAGTACGGCTGGGAGAGACTCCCTGCCTGAAATCCTGGAAAGCTGCTGCCAGTCAGAGTAGGCAGTACTGAGCCAGATGGACCAATGGTTTGAGTCAGCAGAAGGCAGCTTCCCATGTTCCCAATGGGGAAAGCAGAAGGGGTGTTTATTAATGCAACACATTTCGGAGAAAAGATTCTACACTTAGATTAGCAAACAAAAAGCAGAGGCAGCACATTTAAAGGCTGAATCTTTATTTTTCCGAGTTTCTCTGGCCAAGGACCAGGTGAGTAATAATAATAATATATATATATATATATATATATATATATATATATACCTCACCCATCTGGCTGAGTTTCCCCAGCCACTCTGGGCAGTTCCCAATTTAGTGTTAAAAACAATACAGCATTAAATATTAAAAACTTCCCTAAACAGGGCTGCCTTCAGATGTCTTTTAAAGAGAAGATAGCTGCTTATTTCCTTTACATCTGAAGGGAGGTGTCCCACAAGGTGGGCGCCGCCACCGAGAAGGCCCTCTGTCTGGTTCCCTATAGCCTCACTTCTCACAATGAGGGAACCGCCAGAAGGCCCTCAGTGCTGGACCTCAGTGTCCGGGCTGAACGATGGGGGTGGAGACACTCCTTTAGGTATACTGGCCCGAGGCCGTTTAGGGCTTTAAAAGTCAGCATCAACACTTTGAACTGTGCTCTGAAACCCTAGCATGCAGAGAAGCTTTGAGGATCCTGGTGGCCAGACAGGAAGCTCAGGTAAGGTAAAGGTAAAGGTACCCCTGCCCGTACGGGCCAGTCTTGACAGACTCTAGGGTTGTGCGCCCATCTCACTTAAGAGGCCGGGGGCCAGCGTTGTCCGGCGACACTTCTGGGTCACGTGGCCAGCGTGACGAAGCTGCTCTGGCGAGCCAGCGCAGCACACGGAAACGCCGTTTACCTTCCCGCTAGTAAGCGGTCCCTATTTATCTACTTGCACCCGGGGGTGCTTTCGAACTGCTAGGTTGGCAGGCGCTGGGACCGAGCAATGGGAGCGCACCCCGCCGCGGGGATTCGAACCGCCGACCTTTCGATCGGCAACTCCTAGTCGCTGAGGCTTTTACCCACAGCGCCACCCGCGTCCCCTGGAAGCTCAGGTACCACTTATTTATTCCTTAAATTTTTATACCACCCTTCATCTGAGGATTACAGGGCGGTTTATAATACATACTATAAAAATACATACTATAGCAACAAATGAAAACAATAACATCCCCCCAACAGTATTTATTTTATTAAGAAGCATGGCAACTTCTCACTTCTGAAGTGGCCCAGGTTTACCTCGCATAGCACAATCCCAAAGGAAAAGATGTCCACTGTCTCATCATAGCTCTGCCCTGGAAGAAAAGAAAAAAAAGGGAGAGTGGCTTTATTTTCATAAAATGGAGAAAGCATTGAGTGTGAACGATAGAACTGGTGGACCAAGAGTTCGCTAAGACCCCTCAGGCAGTAGAATCAGAGTTTCCTGCCACACAGTCTATTTTTTATTGTCTCAGTGATTACATATGATTCCTGCATGCCTAACTCAGGGCATCATTCCTGGCATTTCCCCTGCTTGGGAGCAAAGCTCAGGGCAAGAGATGGCACCTTGCCCAACGCCATTCTGTTAAGTATCATGGCTGTGGAGGGGACACTGTCAGACTTTCAGAGAGGACAGGTCTACAGAAATTCCTGCAAATCCAGCAGCTGGGGAAGGACCATGATGGCTCAGGGGCAGAGCTCCTGCCTGGAATGCAGAAGGTCCCGGGACCAATCCCCAATGGCATCTCCTGGTAGGGCTGGGGAAGACTTCCTACCTGAGACCTTGGAAAGCCACTGCTAGTCAGTGTGGACAATATGGAGCTAGATGGATCGATGCTCTGACTCTGTATAAGGCAGCTTCTTATGTTCTTTATTTGGGAAGGGCTAGAGCTCAGGGGTAAAGCACCTGCTATGCATGCAGAAGGTCTCAGGTTCAATCCCCAGACTCTTCAGGTAGGGCTCAGAGAGACTCTCTGATGTAATCCCTTAAGAGTTGCTGCTGCAAGCCAGAGTAGGCAATGCTGATGTATATAGACCAAGGTCATAGTATAAGGCTGATCCAGCCTAAGACAACTCCTTCTGCACTCTATTTGGGGACTTCCCTGGCTTTTTTCTGGCCCACATAGGACCAGTCTGGATAGTTGGCCTTGGTGAAGATTTGACGTTTTCATCCCCAAAAAGTTTTTGATTTGAGTTTCTACTGAAATGAGGCTGCATCTTAATGTTGCATTTTAATCTTGTTTTTAAGTTGTATTTTAATCAATTGTTTTTACATCTGGTGTTAGCCGCCCTGAGCCTGGTCTTGGCTGGGGAGGGCGGGGTATAAATAAAATTTATTATTATGATTACTTGTGAAGCTTCTTACCGTTCAGCATCTCTGGTGCCATCCAGTAGGGGTTTCCCACCACTGTGTAGCGCTTCTTCCGGTCACTCTTGCGCAGGGTCCGCTTCTTGGCCGATGGCTTCTCCAGGGTGGGCTTCTTCCTTTCCTCTACAATCAGCCGGGAGAGGCCAAAGTCTGCAACCACCACAGTCTTGTCCTGCAGCCAAGAACAAAGTAGGAGGGGCCACTATGAGAGGCCTACTAGTCTGTGGGGATCAGAAGGCACAGTTTCCCCATGAGCAAAAATATCTATAATAGATGCCCAGGGTCAATAGCAGTGTGTCCCAAAGTGAGCGGTACTACCCACTGGGGAGTGTTGGGTTTACCTGCAGGGGGCAAAGACCATAAAAGGCAAAAGGGTAGTGGGGGAGGGGGGCACTGGAGGTATAAGTGACTATTAGACTTTGGAAACCTGGTATCACTGGATCAAGTTCTTTAAAAAAGAAGCAATTAAACTATATACAGTGGTAGCTCTAGATGCGAACGGGATCCGTTCCGGAGCCCCATTCGCATCTAGAAACAAATGTAACCAGCGATGGCATGTCAGTGCACGCTCGCGTCGCTTTTCGCTGCTTCTGCGCATGATGTCATTTTTAGCGTCTGCGCATGCGCAAGCAGAGCGCAACTCAAACGCGCTCATCCCGAAGCACAATCAACCCGAGGTATGACTGTAGTTTTAAGTGGATTTGGAATACAGTAAATGGGCAATTAACCTTTTTCTTTTTGAAAGTGTTTTTATTTGATTTTATGAATTCATTCACACTAATAATCACAAATAATAATAAAATTACGCAAGATTCTTCTGAATCTTAAGACTTCCCTCCTCCCCTCCGTGGGTTCTTTAAGTAACTTTTTCACTGCATATTATAAGTCCATCTAATTTGCAATCTTCCACTGCATCCAAAATCTATCTATCATTGCAAGAGTTATTTGAAACCTGCCAAAGAGTTCAAGTGTTTACAGTGGTCTTTCAAGTATGATATAAATTTGTCCCATTCTTAGTTGAGGTTTTGATCCTCCTGGTTTTTGATTTTCCCGGTTGGAATAAATGGGCAATTAAACGTTACTGCTCTGAATTTTGTTGTGTGGGTCATGCAAACCACTATTCTGGTTTTTATAGGGTATGTGGAACTGGGAATGATTTCATGGAACCAAGGGGCAGTGGCACCAAAAGTTTGGGAACCACTGGTTTATAGGATCTGGGAGAAGAAGGGAGGAACCACAGCTAAAGGAAAACATAACAGGTATTTTTTTGGGGGGGGGGGCAAATGCACATTGCTTAAGTCACCACCTGCTCTTGGCCTCCAATGAAAACGTCAGGCTTAAAGACACCCAAGTTCTGAGCAACGGTGCACCCCCTCTTGCTGGGATGCATTTACAGCACTAAAGTGGACCTATGAGGTCTCTGTGCGCAGAGAGCCAGAGGGTTCCAACTCTCAGCTGTTTTGCTTGGTGGTGGGCGATGGGGAGAGACCGGAGAACTCACCAGCTTGATCAGGCAGTTGTGGGAGTTCAGATCTCGGTGGATGATGGACATCGAGTGGAGGTAAGCCTGTGAATGGGAGAAAAAGGGGAAGAGAGGCATTTGAACCAACACTGTTCTCCGGTTTGCATCTGGTCCACTTCCAACGTGGCACTTCTGGCTGAAACCACTCAACACTCCCACTGGCCTGTCTCACAGGCTACCCAAGTACCTCCAAGTCATTGCCCTTGGAGGTGGTTGGGGACAAATAGAAGAAGATACCTACACCCCAGTATGGCTCCCCTTTATCACATACACAGCCCAACAAGACAATGACAAAAATCCACCAACGGCATACAAATCAATATGGCTAACCTGATCCAAAACACCCACCCACCCCACTCACACACGAAAACAAAGACCACCACAGCCAATCACAAACAAACAACCACATCCTAGGCCAACCCCAACCTCTCTTACCACCAAAGGAACACAAGTGAATAGCACAGAACCTGCACAAGCAATGCTGACACAAAACCCCACATATATTATCGCCACCCGACCCCACCCCCACCCATATCCCACCCCTTCCCCTTCTTCTTCCTAATGTCTCAACAAATGAAACTGATCTGTAAAAAATGTTACTTGGAGAGAAAGGGAGAGAGAGAGAGAGACATTGCACATACTTTTGTAAACTAAGAAAATCTTTAATAAAATACATTAAAAAAAAAAGCCAAGGTGGTGGCCGGGCCTGGGGGTAGAGGAGGCAGGTCACAGGTGGTTTGGTCTGACCCAGAATCCAGTCAGACCAACTGCACTAAAAGCCTATTATGCTGGAGACCACCATGTGTGAGGGGTTCATGTGCAACCACTAGACCACGGCTGCTGAGGATGCAGAAATGAGCCACCAGCTCCACTGTGGTAAGCCACATGTGTCTGAAAACCGGTTGCTGGAAGCCGCAGGAAGGGAGAGCTGTTGCTGCTGCGCTCATGCCTTGCTTTGGGGCTTTCCATTGGGGCATCTGGTTGGCCACTGTGAGAACAGGATCCTGGACTAGATGGGGCCCCTTTGGTCTCATCCAGCAGCCAAGCTCTTCTTATGTCCTTATGACAGCTCCTTTGCCTCTCCAGCAAAGGAACACCCCATCACAACCCTTTCAAAGTCATGAGCCTAGACTGGGGCTTCCTGAGCTGCAAAGCCTTAAGAGGCAAACTCCTGCGCATTGGCTGCTCATTCAGAGCACAGTTCTCATTTCAGAAAGAGAAATAATGCCACTGTTGCCCCCACCGCTAGTGCCTGCCACCTGAGACAATTGCTTAATGCGGTCTAATGGTAGGGCCGGCTCGTTTCTCTCTCAAATGCACCTTTCAATCCCCCTTGCTCAGCATCTCATATTTTTGAAGCCCTCAAGATGGGGCAGGATATACAACTCAAGACAAGATTCCAGTGGGCAAGAGTGTGTGTTAAATGTGAAGAACCGGGGACTCACCATTCCTGAGGCAATTCCTTTAGCAAAGCTGACCTTCTGCTCCCAGGGAAATGGATCCTGCAAGGTAAAAAAGAAGGCCCTCATTAACATGTTCCTCAAACAAGCAACATATCTGTAGTGGAGGAAAGGCGCAATGCTCTTTTCAAAGTCTTTCTCAGGGTGACATTGAGGCTGTGCCGGCTGGGGCTGATGGGAGTTAAGAGTACAAAACAGCTGGAGGGCATCAGGCCTGGGGGAGACAACTCTAGAAGCCAAGAGCCACTGCACTTTTAGGGTCAAATTTCTCCTTGCTCATCTGACAAGCTGCCTTCACTCACCATGTTCCGGAGGAAATCCTTCAGAGTCCCGCCTTCAATGTACTCTGTGAGAAGGTTCAGCTTCTTGTCCTTGTACAGCACGCCAATGAATTTCAGGACGTTGGGGTGATCCAAGCTGCGCATCACCTTCACCTGAGAAGACAAGACAGCAGTCCAAGGGTTTGGGATGCACTGAGACCTCCTTTTGGTGGCTGCGGCTGCTTTTTTTAAAGAAAAAAACCCAAAAAGTATTTGAAGTCTAAGCAGCTCTTGCAGTCCCATCTGAGGGACTGATCCGATCCACACTTGCTCACCTTCAGAACTGCAGTAGCATCAGGGAGCCCAGGAGTGTTGGCCTTGAAGAATATATATATGCCAGTACAGGTTAGAGCATCAGACTGCAATCTGGGAGACCAAGGTCCAAGCCGCCTCTCAGTCACAAAACTCACTGGGCAGCCTTGGGCCAGTCACTATTTCTCAGTCTAACCAACAGGGCTGTTACGAGAATACAATGGGGAAGCAGAGAACTGTCTATGCCACCTTTGAGTTAATACTTTTTTAAAAAAGAAAAGAAATAAAAATGGAAATGAAATATAAACATGCAAGAAAGTACATAAACAAAACAGGGTGGAACTGTGGAGTGGTAAGTTTGATGGGGAAACAGGAATTGGTGTCTGGAGGGTGCAGCAAGAGGTTTAACAGTGTCATCGCTGGCAAATGGCGGGGCACTGGGGCCTCACTTCAAGCAGCAACGTATTTCTTTTTTATATATACATTTATTTTTTAAAGCGTTTATTAATTTTCCAATTAAAACATCTAATTAACATATCAAATCAAATCCAATGAAAATAAAAAGCTAAAATAAAAAAGAGTCCAATTGTCTTCCAAATTGTAATAATTTTTGTTTTGGCTTCCCATGGTCTGAATTCCGAAGCGCTTTCAACATCATAGTCCTGCCTCTCACTTTTTTATATATAAATTTATTTGTTTGTTTTTTTCAGATTAAAATTTTTATAGTCACATATCCAACATACAACATAGAAACAAGATTCCAAAGAATCGCCTGGACTTCCCTCCTCCCCCCTTTGTGGGTGCTACCGTTCATCATTTCCTCCTGCGTCTTTTATAATAATCCAAATCTTTTACCTCTCCATTGTGTCCAAAATTCACCATTAAACTACAAGTGTTATTCCAATCTTACTAATGATTTTAACTGTTTACAATGGTTTTTAAGATAAATTATAAAATTTCCCCATTCCTCATTAAAATTTTTGGTCTCCCTGATTTCTGATTCTTCCGGTCATTTTAGCCATTTCAGCATAATCCATCAACTTGATCTGCCATTCTGCAGCAACACATTTCAGCCCAGCTCTAGCTTTCCAGAGTGATGTGCAACATTAAATGCAACCCAAGTCTTGGGCATTATCTGCATGGCTTAAAAGACTAAGAGGAGAAGCATGTGACATAATGTTCTTTTGCTCTCTTCTAAGTGGGCAGCCATGGGGTGATCTTCCTGAGCCCCCATTCCTACTGAGGCTGCTGAATAGCAGGACAGCTTAATGCACCCGTTTCAGGACCCGCTTGAAAAGTCTGTTCCTACCTCTGTCAAGAAGGTCTTCTGCGTTTCCTCGTCACAACGGATCAGCTCCTTCATCACCATCACTTTCCCTGTTGCTTTGTGAGTCACCTGAACAGCAAAAGTGAGAAGAACTTAACATGGCGCTTTCAAACCATTGCACGATCTCACTGACCCTCCGTAAAGGGTCACTGGCAGCAGAGTGGCTTCCCCAGGCCTCTTAAGGGTTGCACTTGGCAGAATCAGGAAGGAGCTCTGCACTCCCATAGACCTTCTGTCCTCCTCTCACACTGGGGAATTAACACATTACTTGATCAAAGTAGGAAGTAATGTGTGTGCGCACACAAGGAGGGAGCTCATGGCTTGCTCCTGTACCTCCAGCCCAAGGTTTAGAGGGATGTCTGAACGTAGTCGGCGCATTCTTGTCAGTTTACACCTGTCCGCTGTGCTAACAAGATCGCTCTCTGTGAAGCAGAGAAACGGAACACCCCACTTTTAGGCCTGGAAAAGCCAAAAGAAAGCCTCCTGTTTTAGAGAGCTCGTTTCAGTCTATCTGCTTAGAAAAAGAGCTGGCGACGATGTGAACAAGGCTTGAAATGAACAGACTGAAAGCAAACCAAAGGGAGAGGTATGCTGAGCTCTGTGTGAAGTCTTCAGCAGTGAAGAGCTGCTATATTGTCATTTATTATCGCTTTCATTTTTGTTACTGCTGTTAATAGTATTATTTCAGTCCATTGCCTGCCCTTCACCCTAAGGTCACAGGGCAGGTTACACCAATTTAAAACACAACATTTAAACAACATAAAATTGCAAAGATAGGGTGGGTCATAAAATTAGAGAGGTAGTGTGGTGTAGAATGTGGAACTAGGACTTGGGAGGTAAAGGGGAAAAGAAAGGTACCCCTGATCGTTAGGTCCAGTCGTGACTGACTCTGGGGTTGCAGCGCTCATCTCGCTTTACTGGCCGAGGGAGCCGGTGTACAGCTTCCGGGTCATGTGGCCAGCATGACTAAGCGGCTTCTGGCGAACCAGAGCAGCGCATGGAAACACAAATTTCCTTCCCGCCAGAGCGGTACCTATTTATCTACTTGCACTTTGACGGGCTTTCGAAACCTCCCACTCTGCCACGAAGCTCATTGGGTGTGACCCTGGGCCAGTCACTCACTTTCAGTCTACCCTACCTCACAGGGCTGTTGTGGGAATTAAATGTGGGGGAGAACCACGTATGCTAACTTGAGCTCCTCGGAGTAAAGACAGGATATAAACGCAATAAATAAATAAATAATGGATATACATATCAGGTGTCTGAATTAGAATCTGAACTAGAAGACAAGAAGAGGAGGATGTCACCTGCACTGGGCATGACTGGTCAAGCACATAAAGAGGGGCAGCAACTTGCCTGAGACGTTTGACTCCCCTGTGACTGAAACAGAAGACGACGACAACCAGCAATCCTAACCAGTTTTATTTGAGATACATAGCTGTGTTTTGCTTTTATCTAGGTTTTTTTTACTTGAATGTTGTTTGTATTGTTATTGACTTTATGTAAACAGCATAGAGGAGGAGTTGTTTTTTTTACTACAGTAAGTGTTATTACATTTTCTGCAAGTAATCTAAAAGTCCCCTGCTTTTCCAAAACAAATGTGCAGCAGCACAGGAAAGGAGGGTGCTAGGTTGTTGTACGTCTCCTTTAAAAGGAAGGCCATGCAGAAAGGACGTTCAGAAGGCAAGGGCAAGCCGGATGCTCCACCCCCCCAACCAACACAGTAGCCTTGCAGAATGTGGAGTGTTGGGGCGTTGGCTGCAGCCCAGGGTGGGGGTGGGCAGCGTGCACAAATCAGAGGCCGGAGTTAGTCTGAGGGCTCTCGCCTGAGTGGGAATGCTCATCACAAGGCATGCTGCAAAGAGAGCATTGGGCTTACCTGCACCTGCTACGTGCCTACCCACAGAAGAGGAAGGAGAAGGAGAAGAAACAGGTTCATTAGTAAGAAAAGGTAAAGAGGAGCTGGAATGTGGCATATACCCAAGGATGCAGGCTAAAACAGGGCATGGTTATAAGCCCCTTCCCAGGGCCATAAGAACATAAGAAGAGCTTGCTGGATCAGGCCAACGGCCCATCTAGCCCAGCACCCTGTTCTCATAGGGGCCAACCAGATAGATGTCCCAGATGCCAACAAGCAGGAAACAATCACTAGAGCCCCCTCCCCTCCTGTGGTTCCCAACAATGAGGATTCTGAAGCATTGCTGCCTCCAGCTGTGGAGGGCAGAGCACAGCCGTTGTGGCTGGTAGCCGTGGATAGCTCTCGTCTACATGAATTTTCCTAATCTTCTTTTAAAGCCATCTTGGTTGGTATCCTTCACAGCCTCCTGTGGCAGCGAGTTCCACAGGTTAATTGCGCGCTGCATGAAGGAGCACTTTCTTTTCTCCGTCCTGAATCTTGCTTCCACATTGTGCCAGAGTCAAAATATAGGACAGACTATCCCCAAATCAGAACTCCAGGTGTTCTGGAGGATGGAGCAGGGCCACGGATGAACTCAGCCTAGAAGCTGTGGTCCAACAGGGCCACCTTTTTCCTAAACAGGAGAATTGGCTCAAGCACAAAGTTTTGACAGAAGATGAAATGATTGGCAAACAGAGCATCGGTGCCGAAGAAGCTTAGCTACGGCTACTCAGGCTCTTGCGCCCCAGATCAGGATGAAGGTGGGGAGAGCCAACTTAAAACTCTGCAGTCAGAGATGTGTAGGAAGTTGCTTTGTACTACATCAGGCATTGGCTCATCTACTTCAGCACTGTCTACACTGACTGGCAGCAATGGCTTCAGGGTTTCAAGCAGGAGCCTCTCCCAGCCCTACCTAGAGATGCCGGGGACTGAACCTGGAACCTGCTGCAAGCAAAGCAGATGCTCTAACAACCACTGAGCTATGGCCCTTTCCCATTCAGTGTCAGCTGCACCAATTTCAAGGACAGCAAAAGGAACAGCGAAGCAATTGCTGGGAGAAACCTGATGGGACAAATGATGATCCTGATTAATGAAACACCATTAATGTGAGAAGCAGACACGCCCCGTTCCGGGGTAGGGGGATCTGTTGGGAGAGAAAGGTAAGAGAGTATCTGCGACAGTTTCCTCACCTTGATAGCCTGGCCGAAGAAGCCTTTTCCCAAAACCTCCCCGTGGATCAGATCACAGGGGCGGAAGATCTGCTGGGAACCACTTGTGGATGAGCGGAGCGATTCGGAACGGCTGATATCCCGGCTGAGGAGGAGCGGTTCCTTTGGGGAGCTGGGGCCAGGGGACTTGGAGATGCTGTTGCTTCGCCTGGAGTGGAAGACGCAACCAAGGTTAGATCTTTTGCTGGAAGTCCAAGCTGCAGGCTACCTGTTCTCCAGCTCGTTGGGATGGGAGGAAGAGATGCATACGAAGCAAACCTAGGTTCGCCAGACCACGCTCCATAATAAATGAACATGTGCAACAACAGTATAAAAGAGCCACACTGTGATCGAATTCAGGGCTGCGTTTAGTACGCCACACAAAACCAAATCAGATTGGATGCACTGTGCTGTGATCATGGGACAGGGGGCACTTAAAAAAAATTATTCATTTATTATTATAAAAAATATTTACATACCGCTGTTTCATTAAAAAACATACCACAGTGGTTTACAACAGTATCCTGGACCCAGGTTGTTCAGGGCTTTGTAAATCTATATAGGAACCTTGAATTTTTGTCCTGGGGGCACTCTTGTCAAAGTTCATGTGACTTATGTCTTGGTACCAAACTTATCCAATATTGTCCTTATTTATCACAGTTACAAACCACTGTATTCTCCAAGGAGCTCAATGTGATGTACTGTCAGGCTTGAGGAATTCTCTCCCTCCCCCCAATGGTTTCAAGAAGCAGGGAAGAAACAAGAAGGCTGTTATGATTTATTCAGTCATTACGGCAGAAGACGAAGATTCCAGTCCTTCTGCCATGATGGAAGGAGGAGGAGCCAGAGTGAGCAACTCCCTCTTTCCCAACAGCATCTGACCCTATGGTGGCCCCCCAGGGTCAAATGCCTCTGTGTCTGTTGCTTTTGCACCCTTAACGAATGACACGTTCTAGGGGATGGTGGATCATCTATGCTGTCAAATGAAGTGTCCGCTGGCTGCTCTGTCTCTCCCCCTGCTTCTCCTAACACCTCATAACTTAGCTGCTCGCTTGTCTCTGACTTGTTATCTCCCTCACAGTCTGGCTGTAATTCAACACACCCTCCCTCTTCCCTGTCAGCTACAGGTGAAGGGGGAGGAGGTGATCGCCACCATTCCTCTTCCTCTTCATTCCAGTCCCTGACATGTACATAGTTCTCCCTCTCCTCAAATGATCACCACAACAACCCTGTGAGGTAGGTAGGACTGTGAGGCAATGACTGGTCCGTGGTCACCCAGGGAGCTTCATGGTTGAGAGGGGATTCATACCCTGGTCTCCCAAGGTCCTAGTCCAACTTTTGCACTGCACTGGCTCTTAGTAGTCCTTAGTAGCAAGTAAGGCAGGAGGCAGGAATATGTTAGATACACACATTAGAGTATCAGGCCTTCCCCAAAATGGAATCTTCCAGATGTTTTGGTCTACAACTCCCATCAGCTTCAGCCAGCGGAGAATGCTGCAGTTCAAAACTGCTGGAGGGTGCCAGGTTGAGAAGAGCACTATGTTAAAGGGGTCAGCCTAAATTCCACTAGTCCAACCTCCTACAAAGTGAAAAGCTATATAGCCAAAATAAAATGCTAGTTGAATGTCAGTAAAAATTTTGGGGGTAGCCTTCCCGGCCTTGGTACCTGAGGGAGCGACGCCGCAGCGTTCCTTCCAGGTTCTCCTTCAGGTCCAGAGCTGATATGGGGCAGGGTGAAGAGGGCTTTTTCGTGCGCCCGGGCATCCGGGCATCCAGACGCAGTCTGTCGAGACGCTGAGAGACGGGGTCATGCTCGATCAACAGCTGGAGGGTTTGGCTTGTCTTGCGAATCAGGTCCTCTACCTGAGAAGCAAACCCAGGAATAAGGAAGTTGCACAATGAAGGCGAGAGAGACCTCCAAGGGAGCATCTCCAGGGGTCATTCAAACAGAAAGTTGTTGATAGCACAGACATCCTGGCATTGGTAAGCTAACCTCACACAAACCTACAAGAGGTTTAAAGGGGACCCCTGACCATTAGGTCCAGTCGTGACCAACTCTGGGGTTGCGGCGCTCATCTCGCTTTATTGGCTGAGGGAGCCGGCATACAGCTTCCGGGTCATGTGGCCAGCATGACTAAGCCGCTTCTGGCGAACAAGAGCGGCGCACGGAAATGCCGTTTACCTTCCTGCCGGAGCGGTACCTATTTATCTACTTGCACTTTGACGTGCTTTCAAACTGCTAGGTTGGCAGGAGCAGGGACCGAGCAACGGGAGCTCACCCCATTGCGGGGATTCGAACCACAGACCTTCTGATCGGCAAGTCCTAGGCTCTGAGGTTTAACCCACAGCGCCACCTGCAAATCAGCACGCAGGTTTCTGTGGCTGTCCACAGTTAATTATGTAATTATGGCTGTCTCTGTACTCTCTGCATTTCTTCTCCTCACTGCTTACAATCCTACACCAAACCATGTGTGCATATATTGCTGAAATATGCTGATGACCCACAGCTGTACTTCTCCTTTACATCTGAAGATTTGGCAGTGGATGTGCTGGACTATTGCCTTGCCTCATTAACGGACTGGATGAAAGCCAACTGAAGCTCAATCCAGATTAAGACTCAGGCACTGTTAGAGGGTGGTTCCCTAGAATGCATGGATTGGATGTTCCTGCTCCTGATAGGGTTACGCTCCCTCTGAAGTACATAGCTTGGGGGTACTTCTGGAACCCTTGCTATTGCTTGAGGTTAAGGTGGCCTCAGTGACATGAAGTGCCTTCCATCAGCTTTGGCTGGTGGCCTAGCTGTACCCCATTTGGACAGGGATAACCTAACTTCTGTCGTCAATGTTCTGGCAACCTCTGGGTTAGATTACTTCAACATGTTATACATAGGGCTGCCTCTGAAGAAAGTTTAGAAACTTCAGCTGGTGCATACAACACAGGGGCTGATGGGAGTTGTAGTCTAAAACACCTGGAGGGCACAAGGCTGGCCGACTGGCTCCTGCTCTCCAGGGTTCCCATCAGAGATCTTTATAGCAATGCCATGGATCAATCCTGAATCCTTCTGCATGAAAAGCATTTGCACCAGCCCTGAGCTATTCTCTCGTCTCCATTCTGTTCTATTTCTCAAATCACCAGGAGCAAGAAGTGAACTTAAAGAGATGTCCAGGCCGTACCTCTTCTGTTTGTAGTGTGCGAATCGGGGTCCCATTGATCTCCAGGATCTTGTCTCCAGGGTGAATAGCGTTCTGGACATCAGGACTAATATGCAGTCGGTTGACTCTATAAACAAAGAGGGAGGGTCATGTGACAGCAGAACTATTTATATTTTTCTGGGTCTCCAAGGAGTGACAACATGAATTGCACTACTCCAAAGACCAGAGAAGACTGAAACTTACATAAAAGTGCAGTAGTCAGTGTTAAAATTAACAAATAAATTACATATTATCCTTAAAATAATCGGAGTTTTGCTTATAAAACAAATAAACATGACTAAGAGAAGAAAAATATAGAGAGGGGACATTAGGAGATTGTCAGGATACATTTAGCACTCTGATGTCTTCATATCTCCATGACAATTTAATGAAATAGGATCCTAGAATTGTAGAGTTGGAAGGGACCACAAGGGCCATCTAGTCCAACTCCAGGCAATGCTGCCTATAGTCATTCCTGGGTGGGCTCTTCCCTATTCTCTGTTATCAGTCACATCCTCCAGTACTGGTTCCTCACAGACACACCTTCTACCTTGCACTGGTTTGCCATTAGATCTCCCCCAATTCTATCATACATTCCATTTGTTCAAATTGAGAAAAAGCTTTCTGATATTCCACTGTCGTAGGAAGTAAGTATTTTTTCAAATTGGTACTGAAGTTTTACACTAGCTAACCATTTCACTGTTCTTGAGGATGTGAGGGCAGTTGTATCAGTTTGTATTCCTACGTCCAAAACTCTTTGTTTAAAAATATTTCTAGTGACATTTCCCAGTGGATTCAGTGCCTGTAAAGAGAATCCAAAATATCTGGATAATAGTTCTGAAAGTTTTGCAGTGAAAAATTTCCTAGACTGTTTGATCTCTGTTTCTCTAAAAACATATCAGGAAACCTGTCTTTCATCAGCTGATTTCTACTACACCAGTAATTTATCACCCTGACATAATTTAGACCAGAAACCGTTTCCATGCCTGATTCTGCTCTAATTAAATAAGCTGGGGTAATTTTTGAAACCCCTAAAATCACACACACAAAATGGCTTTGAACTCTCGATTTTAGTAAAATCTGCAATGCCCCAAATTTTCACAGCAAGAATTCATATCAGTCTCATTGTTGCTTTAAAAAAATGGCACAATGACTATCCCTGGTTATTAAAAATTCAGCAGTCTGTTTAAAGATTTAAAGCAGGCTACTTGTTTTTCTTTATTTGTAAAGTCCAAGGTGCTGAGGCTGAGAAGGTTATGATAAGGTAACTGGGAGATTTCATCAGCTCTGGCTCTTTAGAATTAAACAGTTACTTGTGTTTAGTTTTCCTGCCTTGACTAAAAAAACTTTAGATTTGACATTATTAATGACTAAACCATTTTCTGGACTGTCTTAATCTTCTCAGGCCCACTTGAGGTGTCAAAAGGAACATATCTTCTCAATAAATACTGTACATTTACCAGTCTCTTGAAGCTTTGGGAACATGATAACTCCAATTGTGCAGAGTCACGACGATATAAAATCAAAGTTAAAAAGAAATGTATACAGCCTTGAGGGAGACCTTTATATGTCAACATGATGAAGAGGGAAAAGGAAGAGCTAAAGTAATGCAAGTCTTTTGTATATGATACAATCATTCCCTTTGATCTCTCAACCAGAGTCTCTAAGAAGGACAAACAGTATAAATGTCCATAATTAAAATAGGCAATTAAACAACACAGCAATTTAATATTGTATTGTTTAACTGCATATTTTAACTACGAGCGTCTATACTGTAATGCTTGTGTGATTGGCTTTTATACTTAAACTTAGCTTAGAAGCGTGTTTTGGCATTAAGCAGTATACAAACTGATTTATCACCTACTCTTTCACTTGGACGCTAGTGGCATAGGTTGAGCAGCCACCTTCGACAGCCACCGTGAATCCTCGCTTGCCATCAGTGGCCGCAGGCATGGAGATGAGGGTCAGCGTGTAGGGCAGCTGTTCACACAGGAACTCTGTGGACAACCTCTCAATCATCGGCGTCAGAACAATCTGGTTATGGCATTTGCCACTAAACAGAAGAGCGGAGAACATTATGCTGGAACTGCCGCATCCATCCCTCCCCTCACCCCACCAATAATAATAATAATAATAATAATAATAATAATAATAATAATAATAATTTATTTATTCCCCAGCCACTCTGGGCGACTTCCAATCCAGTGTTAAAAACAATACAGCATTAAATATTAAAAACTTCCCTAAACAGGGCTGCCTTCAGATGTCTTTTGAGAAGATAGCTGCTTATTTCCTTCCTATCTGAAGGGAGGGTGTTCCACAGGGTGGGCGCCACTACTGAGAAGGCCCTCTGTCTGGTTCCCTGTAACCTCACTTCTCGCAATGAGGGAACCGCCAGAAGGCCCTCGGCGCTGGATCTCAGTGTCCAGGCTGAACGATGGGGGTGGAGACGCTCCTTCAGGTATACAGGATCGAGGCCGTTTAGGGCTTTAAAGGTCAGCACCAACACTTTGAATTGTGCTCAGAAACGTACTGGGAGCCAATGCAGATCTCTCAGGACCGGTGTTATGTGGTCCCGGCGGCCACTCCCACTCACCAGTCTAGCTGCCGCATTCTGGATTAATTGCAGTTTCCGGGTCACCTTCAAAGAGCGCATTGCAGTAGTCCAAGCACTGGACCCCCCTGCCTGCATTCCACCCCTTGCTCCCCACAGTTGCAATATGGGCTTCTAACTTCCCCTCCTTACCAGTAGAGGGCAGAGTGCTGCACCAATGCATATGTGTCACCGTCTTCAATGATCACCTTGCAGCTCATACACGCAAAGCATTCTGGGTGGTACTTGTATTCACCAGCCACCTGCAGAGAAGCGAGGTTTAAGCCAAGGTGGAGAGCAGACAAAAGCAAAGCAACAAAGGCGCTTTCAGACCCAGAAAAGTCAAGAGACAAATCTCAACTGTGCCTTAGCCACATCAACCCTTTTCCTGAAACCGGATGGCACACCGCAGGGTCAAACCAAGGTTTGCAATTGCTGGCTGGAGGGGCATTTTGTCGCTTCAGGTGCTCCTGGAAAAGCAGGCCTAACTTAAAAGAGTGTGAAAGAAGGGAAGAAGAGGAGGATGTTGCAAGGAGTGTGGGTGTTATCTGTCTCAAGTGGGGGCTTAATAGTTAAACTGTGGAACTCGCACCCACAGGAGCCAATGATGGCCACCAGCCCATATAGATTTAATAGAGGATTAGACAAATTCACAGTGGAGAGGGCTGTCAGTGGCTACTATTTCCCATAGGGGCATCTGGTTGGCTTCAATTTTACTTGTCCCATTTCAACCAGCCTGAAATGGCACAAGTTAAATGTGTATAAGTTGGGATTGTACTGTAATAGCATATACATGAATACAGTACTGTACAGGTATTTGGGACTGCACTTCCCCTAGAATCCACTAGGGGTCTCAAAAAGCATTTTTAAAATATGAGCACAGCCTCTTGCTAGGGGAAATAAGCTGTTGGCCTGCGGAGTTTCCCCTACAGCAGTTGTCTTCAACCTTTCAAAACTCGGGACTCCACCTTCAGCCCTAACATGCATTTGGGGACCTGTTTCTTAACTTTCTACAGGATCTCAGATTCAGAGCTAAGTGCTGTCTAGTATAGCGGCCCTAATAAGTTTTAAATCAAGACATGGAGAGTTTCGCCTGCAGTCAGAAGAAAGATACCTTCACTTTGTTCTGAATAATTTTATATATTTATATTAACGTACTGCATTTATATCCCACCTTTTTCTCCATGGACCTCAAGATGAAATCAGACTGATGCTTTAACCACTATACCACGCTGGCTCTCAGTCCCACACTTCAGCGCAGACTCACTCAACCTGGTGCCCTCATGCCATTTTGGACTACAGTTCCCATCAGCCCCTGCATCATTCAGCCCAGAGACAATGTTCTACAACTCTGGCCCAATCCTGTGCACAGATATGTTCACACACACACACACACACACACACGAGTGTTAATGACAGGAAGTGTGTCCTTTATGCCAGCAATGGATGATGCAGAACCAGTATAGAGGGTCAGACTGGTACCTGGGGGACCAGGGTTCAAATCTCCACTCAACCATAAAGCTCACTGGGTGACCTTATAGTAACCTTGGGCCAGTCACTATTTCTCAAGTCTAGCCTACCCTCAAAGGACGTTGGGTAGATGAAATGAGGAGCGGAAGAACCATGTACATCACTTTGTGAGAACATAGAAACATAGAATCTTAGCCTTGGGAGGCACTCATGGTCATCTAGTCCAACCCCCTGCAATGCAGGAATCTCAGCGAAAGCATCCATGGCAGATGGGATGTAAGTGTAAATAAATAAACAGACCATATCACAGGACATAGGAAGCTGTTTTAGACTGATTCAGATTCTTGGCCCATCTAGCGCAGTATTGTCTACACTGACAGGCAGCATCTTTCCAGGGTTTCAGGACATTCCCAGCTGCACCTTGAGATGCTGGCTGGGGACTGAACCTGAGACCTTCTGCATGCAAAGCAGGGTCTCTACCACTGAGCCATGGCTTCCCCCGGAAGTACCATGTACATCACCACAATTGTGTTCCTTGGATGAAGAGTGGGATATAAATGCAACAGCAATAACAGAACTGTTTGGAAGCAAAAAGCATGCTCCTTTGGGTTTTTTGCAAAAGGATGCACCTCCCACTGAAAAAATCTTCCATTTGCCAAACCTGTTGAGAGGTTCAATATCGTATTACAAAGACGGGAGCCTGAGTCCCAAGAACAAAGGCAAAGTGCCTTACGGCATGCACAGCCTGGAGGCCCAACAGGAAACACTTTTGTCTTGTGCACCATCGCAAAACATTTCACAACAAAGCTGCTCCTCCTTCCTGCCAGGCCCTTCCCAGAAGACACACTGTGTGGGGGGCAGGGTGGGGGGAATATAGCCTGATGTCATCATTAGTGCTTTGAATCCTAATCTTGTATTACAGAGTTGGAAGGGCCTCCAAAGGTCATCTAGTCCAACCCCCTGCATTACAGGAATCACAGTTAAGGAATCCCTGGCAGATGGTCATCCAATCAAAAACCTCCAATGAAGGAAAGCCCACAGCCTTCCGAGGTAGTCCGTTCTGCTGTGGAACGGCTCTTCCAGTCAGGAAGTTCTTCCTAATGTTTAGTTGGAATCTCCTTTCTTGTAATTTGAATCCACTGGTTTGGGGTCCAACCCTCTGAAGCAGCAGGAAGCCAACACAGAGTAACTAGTGGAGATTTGCAGAGGCTTCGGATGCTGAGTTTTCCCCATCCTGCATCATCATCATTTGTATAGCACCCTATACCCCCAGGTCTCAGGGTTGTTCACAACATAAAATTCTGGGGATACTCAGAATGGGAAGCAAAAACAATGGCAAATCCTTACCATGACTGGCCCAGTCATCAGCAGAGAACAGCCGTGGCAAGACTCGCCAAATTTCCTCCAGTAGTCCTTGTGGCAGTAGAGTTTCCCATCCTTTTCGTAGTACCAGTTTGTGAGGAGGTCCTGGCACTCGGAGCAACTAGGAGGCAAAGCAAAGGATGGGAGGTAAGACCTACATCTGCCAACCTGCAACCTGCCAGGCTATGGAGTAAAGGGAAGTCCCTTTGGGGTGCGCTATGTCAGGCATGTCCAAAGTCCGTTTATTTCCTGGGGTAAAATCCTAAAAAAAACCCTCAACAACTTCAATCCTAAAAGAAGCTCAACAACTTTGGATGGCCCCCACGGCCCTTCACTTCATCAAATCTGGCCCTTGTGAAAAAAGTTTGGACACCACTGGTCTATGTAGTAAGCAATGAATAAATGCAGTAAATAATACTAAGTAGCATTCAGCTTGCCCAGAGAAGACCCACTGAAATTAATGAGGCTGTCCATTAACTTCAGTGGGTCTACTCTGATCAGGGCCAGCACTTAATACCAACTAATGATAATACCAATAAGAATAAGAGTGGCCACTGCATGACATATATATATATATCTGTTTTTAAACCTAACATAATAGCTAAACTTTGAAATAACTCTACACTAATACATTACTCAGCACAGAAATAAAAAGCCTGGAAGGAAGCCAGAAGAACCTGGATTTAAGTCTCCAGACAAACTTCTCGGACCCCACCTGGGGACCTCTGGCTGTTTTGGACTACGACTCCCATGAGCCCAATGCCAGCATGACCATATGATGCTGGGGCAGATGGGAAGAGTTGCTCAGACCTGTGGAAGACTGGGGCTGGAGGATGTTGTAGTCCAGAGCGGCTGGAGGGCACCAGGTTGTACAAAGTCCCAAAAGTGATCTGCGGATGGGTGGATGAATAGAAGGCACCCCTCTGAGGCCCGCAAGAAAGCAGTGTGGAGAAGGAAGCCTGAATGCTGAGGTGGTGGTCACTCTCCAGGACAAGGGGACGGCCTCTGACCCCCCCACTGCAAAACTCATGATCCTTGGACCATTATGAACATAGCACCAAGGCGAGGTGACCATGCACAAAGAACCAATGTCCCTAGCCCACAGGGGCAGGAGGCAGGTCAGAGTATAACTATCTGCCCAGTGATTTGTAATGCTATTTCTAAGGCAGGTGCAGGTCTCTCTCCAACAATGGACACAACATCACCAGGCTCTGCATATCACCACCTCCCAGGTGAACAGCCTGAACTACTCTCTTGAAAACCTACCAAGACCTTCTCACAGGAGAGAGCAAGCTTCCTTTGCCCATCTGTTTCGGGACAATTGCTTCGAACTGTGTTTCATTTTCTGGTGGCATAAGGAGAGGGGGATCCCAAATGATGACTGGGCTGTTGAACCCTGCTTAGCATATACAAAAAGAAAGCAATTTTTCACACCTCTGGAATTTAGTCCCGCAAGACGTAGAAATGGACACCCACTGAAATGGCTTTAAAAGAGGGTTAGACAAATTTCATGGAGAAGGATGCCTATAGCCAGCAGCCACAATGGTTATATGTGATGTTCACTGCTGGAGGCAGTATGTCTCTGAATACTAGTTGCTGGAAGCTACAGGAGAGGAGCTTGCTGCTGCACTCAGGTCCTGCTTGGAGGCTTCCCACTGTGGCATCTGGGTGGCTGCTGTGTGGACAGAGGGGCATCCTTTGGCCTGATCCAACACTCTTCTTATGGAACCTCCAGGCCCAGAGGCAGTCTATCTAGATTCCTAGGTTCTTTGGGGTGTTGGGTCCCTTTGAGAAGAAGATGCTAGACTATATGGTCTTCCTTTGGCCTGATTCTCCCAGGCCGCTGCTTACGGTCTTAAAGCAGCCTCCCCTAGGCTGAATAAGGAAGGGAGTGCTTAGCTACCAGTAATTACTAAGGTGTTTTTATACATAAGCCAGTGGGCCCTGCCCAACTTTTACCCAGATAAGCGAGCTAACCCTACTATGGAAACGCCGCCTCCTCAGCATGCAGCTGCGTGCCTGGAAGCATCAAATCTTGCCTCTCCTTCAGCTTCTAGCCTGTAACTTAAGTTGATAAGATTGACCTGGCAAGTGGGACCAATGAGCAAGGAGGTGCCTATCTGTCCAGCAGCAAAAAGGATTTGGAATTGTTAAATAGCAGAGGATAGGCTTTGTGCCTGTCACTCTGAGAGAGGCAAGGTGCTCTACTCTTGGCACTGCACCAGATAAAACAACAGCAAGACTCGGGGAAAGAGAAAGCAAGTATTTAAGATTCCCACTGGCCTGGATGGTTTGTCCAAAATACTTGCTCGTCAGCATGCAGCGAACCCCGGCAGAAATTCCAAGATTTAGCTACAGGTTCAGATGCTGGACCTCTGGGCAAGGTCTTGTTTGGGGTGACGCACATGCCATTAGTCACATTCCAAGTAGGAACACGCTTCCTGCAATGACCGGGCAACCGTAAACTCTGCTCATCCCTCCACCCCACCCTCCTCCCTTTCCTTAGAAGTGGGGAAAGCAGCTGACTAGCTGGTGCTTGAGGTCTGGGTCAGCCACCCCCAACCTGGTGCCCTCCGAATGTTTTGCACAACTCCCGCCACTAGCCCCAGTCAGCAAGGTCATGTGGGACAACTACTTCCACCAACCCCAGTTAGCAAGGCTGAACAAGTGCTCTTTTCAGTATGTGCATTGAATTTCTATCTGGAGAGAGAGTTTTGGCTCGCCCTGTCATTCAGGGCTCTCCCTACCACTTGTGGACTCCAACAGGGCCACTACGGCTGCTGGTGCTTGCTCTAGCACCGGGTGCCGAGCAACCTCCTGAAGGTGCTTCAAGTTCTCCTCCACACTGATGCTGGTACCCCTGGTTGTCACAGTATTAGGAATCCTCTCGGCTGCAGAGCACCCTGGGGGTTGTAGTCCAGGTCTGGCTGCTCAGTCTTTGCCCATCCTAAGTGCCATTCAGATGGTTCAGACTACAACTCCCATCAGCCCCACCATAATACGGTTGTACTGACTTAGGCTGATGGGAACTGTAGCCCGAAACACCTGGAGGGCACCAGGTTGGGGAAGGTTGCTCAGGACACCGGAAACCAAAGGAGGAGTTCCAGATCGGCTCTCGTCCACTGAGCGAAATTCTAGGCATTGCAATTTGCTTTGCCAAAGCTGGTTATCCTTCTGTGCTGCTTTATCTACACAGGTTGCACGTTACAAATTCTAGGAAGCTGAGGAAAGTTGAAAGGGGGCTGCTGCTGCAACACAATTCTGGGGGAAAGGTAAGGGGCTGAGGCGCATTAAGAAAACCCGTCCCTTGTGACGTCACTGTAAACAAATCCAGGCAGGGCAAATTCACAGAAGTCCGCCCAGGCCTGCAGAAGCCCAGTGCACATTCCCAAGGCTGCTTCAGAATGTGAGTGAAATTCCGGCTCAGAAATAACAAGTGCTTTAGCTTCACACACAGCTATGCGCTGCATAGAATCACAGAGCTGGAAGGGATCCCAAGGGTCATCTAGTCCAACCCCCTGCAATGCAGGAATCCTTTGCCCAATGTAAGGCTCGAACCCACAACCCTGTAAGAGTCTCATGCTCAACTGACTGAGCAGGATTATTTTTACGGTGCTGTTCCTAAGCGTTCAGAGCACACCGTGTGAGTATTTCCACAATCATTGCAGTCACCATGTTAAGGCAGACCCTATTTCAGATGGGAATGAGGAGTGGCTCAGAAATGATAGCTTGCCTAAGTCCACACCCTCACTCAAGAAGCTCATGGCTAATATTGGTTTAAAAAAAATAAAAATCTAAGTACTTGCTCTCTTGCAGATTACAAAGTCATAGGAAGTTGCCTTATCCCAAGTCAGACCATTGAACCATCTAGCTCATTACTGTCCACACTGACTGGCAGCAGCTCTCCAGGATTTCAGGCAGGAATCTTTCCCACTTCTACATACAGATTGAACAGGGGGCCTTTTGCGTGTGATGAAATAAATGCTTCTGAGTCTGTCCTGTGTCAGAAGCACATTCCTGAAGCAGCTGCAATTAAAGTGGGGGGAGGAGAGGAGCAGGCACACAAGGGGAATGGGAGGCATATTCTAACAGACACTGGATAACTTTTATGCTAACTGTGTCAGGGCACGTGTGAGAAACTAATGCCCACCTGACTGCTCGGAACTGCAGAACTGGCACTGCTGCAAGTGCTCCATTGTATTTGTTCCAGGTTTGTAAGAAATCGATCCATTAGAACTCACTGTCTACTGACATAATTCCTTTAGGTGCCTGCTTAAAACGTCTTCATTCACGCAAACCCACCCAGACATGTTGGCATGTGTTTTAAACTGTCTGTTGGCTTTAATTATATTTTGAAAATTTTAAAATACCTATTTTTAACTTTGCTTTCCGTTGACCATTTTAATGTTTGTTTTATTTGTTTGCTTTTTTGCAAACTGCTTAGGGGTTCTGTTTACAAATCAGGTGGCATTTAGATTGTTAGGTGAATAAAATGAAACAAATAAAGTAACACACACACACTTCACAGGGAGGGATCAAGTCCTAAAAGCAGATTCCCCAAGTTCTTCCTAACCATTTGCATGTCTGCCTTGTGGCACTCAATTTTTTTATGAGATTCCAACACAATTTACCCACCTCACCACTAGCCACAAGTTTCACTCGCTTCCTGGCAGGGAATAAACCCTTCAAGGTGGGAGTGAAGGGCTTGACGCCTGGTGCTCACTTGAAAGACAGGCTTAAAACAAGCAATAATCCAGGAGGCGAGGGGGCTGCTTTGGAAACGAAAGAGGTTTATGGAAACCCGGCTCAAAAGCTATACTCAGCTCATCCACGCATCTGAAATCTGAGAGGTACAGCACCAGCTTGAATCCCTCCTAGAGTCTCTGAATTAAACTGGCCCCAAGTCACCCAGCGAACTTTATGGCCACAAGGTCTCTGTTAGACAACTCCTGCCATCATTTAACACACCACACCGGCAAACAAGACATGAGGCTTCAGGTGCTGTAGGTTGAAAAACAACTCACACACCCAAATGAACCTGCAAACGCTGCTAGCAACCTATCACGTCTCACCCCACCTTAAGCAGGTAAGAAAGCATACAGACTGTGCCCTCCTACCTGAAAGATTTCTACCAGGCAGGTAGGTTACTGGGTAGAAACACACCTAACAGCCTAGGAGTGGGGTGAGGGGTGGTGGAAAGGAAGCTGCCCCCCATTGCCCCCTGGCCACATACTGAGCATGGCTTACCGAAAGGGCTCCTTTGGAAGGAAGGAAGGTGGAGCAGACAAGTAGCTTCCCATCTCCGGAGTGCTGGCTAGACCAGCTCAGACGCAAACCTGTTTGACGGCTTCTACCGTGCAGCCAAGACGGCCATGGAAAAGGGTTCACTTTGCCTCCTGCCGATTCGGGTGCCTCGCTGCTAGCGCAGGGGAGTGCCAGGTCCTGGGCGGGTTGCTCTCCGCTGGGATTCCCCTGGCTCTCATGGTCGCAAGGGGAGCAGCAGCCTTAGGAGGAGGCTGTTTCAACTGGGAGCCCCTCAAGGGAGAGCAGTGTCATTAGCCTTGTGCCCGCCCAAGGCTAGAGCAGTTGTTGTCATGCTTCCTCCTCCTCCTCCTCCAGTTCTAGCCCAAGGGTAGAGGGTGGAGGGAACAGGAGGAGGAGCTCCTCTTTTCAGGAGTGAGGTGGATAGTTAACATGATTAGCAGGGGATAGCAACAACTCATTTACAAAAGGTGGAATCCACGGACCTGCAAGGCACAAACCTCCCTCCTCCGCAAAAAAAACCCACAAACCAACGCACCACAGCAGTCTGAAGTTGCAGGATCGAGCCAGTAATCAAAGCTCACTGTCAAGTTGACTCCGTGGTGGCGATGGTGGCTCCTCAACACCATCTTCACCTTTCCCAGCCAAGGAAACGGGACCTAACCCTCAGTAGCATATGCTCCAAAAGGTTTGACAGAGGCTTGCAAGACACATCTACACCATATATTTAAAGCACATGGTTTCCCCACAAGAATCCTGGGAGTTGTAGTTTGTTAAGGGTGGGGGCAAATGGCAGCTCCCAGGATTCTTGGTGGGGCGGACCCACGTGCCTCACATGCACACTGAATGGTTGGTGTGGATGTGACCAAACACTTTCACCACTGAATACCATGGCTAACGCAGAGCAGCCAAAGGAGGTGTCCGGACACCACCTGCTTCAACTTTGATGCTACGACTTTCACTTCTTATGGCTTGAGGAGGTGGAAGGGTGCTGACCAACAAGAGCCAGCCTTGTCCCTTTTGACTTATTGCATGTAGCAGGAGCCAGCTGAGCTTCAGAGATGCTAAATGCCTGTCTGGGAAAGAATGTGGTGGGGGGTGGGGTCCCAGCTGTGACATGCCTGCTCCTAAGGAGACCTGCCTCAGACACAGAAGAGGTGAACAGTTATCACTTAGCAGATAACATTTCCTTCCCAGGCCAGGAGCTCACGTGAGTGGTTGCCGACACTTTATGATTTCCTGGATCCATTTCAAGTGGAGATTTAGGTTTGGTTTGGGTGCAGGAGCTGCCTCCGTTGCCCTTTGCTGGAAGACCAGAGGCATTAACGCTCCTTGACCTCTCTGATACCATCCACCATAGCTTTCCTCTGGAAAAGGTTATGAATCATGGGGTTGGAGGAGTAGGGAAACAGGTTCTGTATATTTCCCCTCCTTATCTGAACATCCGATCCCAGGTGATAACAACGGAGGATTTCTGCTGAACTTTGGGGCATTTATGCTTGGGGGTCCCACAGGGTTGTGGGTTCAAGCTGCACGTTGGGCAAAGGTTTCCTGCACTGCAGGGAGTTGGACTAGATGACCATCATGATCCCTTCCAACTCTACAGCTCTATTATTCTACGCTGTGAGGTAGGCTAGGATTTGCATTAGTGACTGGCCCAGGGTCACACAGTGAGCTTCACATGACTGCATGGAAGTTTGAACCCTGATCTCCCAGGTCCTAGTCCAACACTCTAACCACAGAACCATACTGGCTCTCAAGGACCTTGCTTCCCACATTCGCCCGCCAGTGACATCTGGGAAGCCCACAATCGGGGCTTGAATGTCCTCCTGTCGTTCCCTAACAAACCATCACTCAATCCCCTTGCACAGATTTTAGCGCTGGGAGGGAGAGAAAGATCAATCAATCAATCAATCAATCAGGTATGCTTCTCAAAGCTGCCTCATCTCACAAGGTTTCCTGTGCAGCATGGATGCTTCTTTGTCCTAAAATCCAGGAAACGGAGGGAGAGAACTAACCGAGGCTAGTGCTATGCCAGGTTTTTTGTTTTTTAAAATCGTACAAACCTTCAGGTTCAAACATTCTTCTTCGTTAGCCAAAAAGGAAAGGCAACTGGGAAAGCATATCTAGTTGTGAATGCAGTTATGTCACCACCCATGCCTATGAACAGTTCTGTTCTGATGGTGCTTCAACAAGGCAGCCCCAGGCTCAAATGCCATGAAGCCCACAGAATGGCCTTGGGCAAGCTGACAGCTCTCAGTCTTGCAACCTGCCTCAGACAGGATACAAGGATAAAAGAGATACATTGCAACATCCCTCAAGTCCTTGGGACAGGGCAAAGCAGAAAAATCTAAATGTGTGTTTTTTAAAAACTAAATCTTTATACTGCTTCCTTGATTTAAAATTATTTAAGTGATTTACAAAGGATTACATATGTTCCCCAGTGCTCTGACCCGTTGTGCATTACATTATGTTATTCCCCAGGAAATGTTGCCTTGTTGAATATACAGCGGTACCTCGGGTTAAGTACTTAATTCGTTCCGGAGGTCCGCACTTAACCTGAAACTGTTCTTAACCTGAAGCACCACTTTAGCTAATGGGGCCTCCTGCTGCTGCCACGCCGCCGGAGCACAATTTCTGTTCTCATCCTGAAGCAAAGTTCTTAACCTGAAGCACTATTTCTGGGTTAGCGGACTCTGTAACCTTAAGCGTATGTAACCCGAGGTACCACTGTAAAGGACAATGAGTTCAAGTTTAACCCCGTTGCATTTCATATTTGACAAGGCAACATTTGGGTGCCCAAGATGGAAAAGCCAAACGGTATCTCAAAGTGACATGAGCTACGATGTACCAGGAATCTCTCCTGTGCAAGCCCCCCCGTGAAATCATCATTCCCATTGTTTTCATTCATTTCAGTAGAGCCTGCACAGAAGAACTTTCCACTGGGGTTGCTTCTGCCTGCTGCACTCTGGCACCCAAAGCCTGCTGCTGCAGAGTCTGTTGACACATTAGGGCTATGAAGTTGAAATCCAGATGCTGCAGATTTTTAAGAGGTTTCCTTTCAGGATAAGGGCAGGCATGGTGGCAGAGAACAGAAGCACATTAGGTGCTGGGTTGACACCTGTGGCTAAAGTTTCCTAAAAACTGGAGTTGAATTGCAAGGCATGTGTATGCACACACACAACAGCCAGCCACATTTATGGAAAAATAACCTCCGTAAATTGCCAGGATCTTCCACTTAGCTGGGCTTTTAAGCCAGCTGTAAAGTGCAGAGTCAGTGACACCAGGGTCATAAATCCTGACACAGTCCATCTGTTTCAGGAAAGAGGGAGTCTTTCCTCCTGACCATTTGCACAGAGCTCCACTGGAAACAGAAACAATGCAGTGAGTTTGCGTCTAGGAATGCACTCCTCTTTTCCATGCCCTCCTCATATCCCAGTCCCTTTTGGATTATTAGTTCCATACCATGAACAAAAACTGCCATGGAATAATTGGCAAGTCCCTTATTGGCTTCGCATCCTCAATTTTTGGGGGGTGGGGGTGGGGGAGTAGGCAGGACAGAGAAAGAACAGCAAAGAGTATTTGCCCCCGTGTTTGAATTTATGAGCTGAAATTTGCCCCCACTTGATCTAAAAAGATCCATATAGATAATCCTCAAGTCTAAATTTATGATGTCCTGCCGTGTGATTAACAGCAAACAGCACTTCTGCATGAGAGGCCAACTTGCAAGAGCCCAGCGTGAAAACTATAAGAAACGAAGACAGCTAAAAGCCCTGCTAAGAGATTCCATTTGGAGTGTTGGCTTCATGAGATTCTCTATAAACAGGAAATATATTTATCATAAAACTTGATCTGCTTCTGAAGAGAGACCTGCAAAGCAGCTTCCACACACAAATTTGCACACACAAGCAAGGAAGATAACACTTCATTGCCCAATAAAGAACAAATAATCAATTTAGTGTGATTTGACATGTGCTACTTTGCCTTTTTTAGGTGCCACAAAGCTCTTCGTTGCTTAGACATTGATTAGTCCACTGCTTATAGATCTTCTAACATTTCTGAGCCACTTCCAGAAAGATTAAGCTTTACCAATGTAAAGCTAAGAAGCTTCTACAGGTGTCATTTCAAGGTCCCTTTGCCTCCAATCCCTTATCGTTGCTTCATAAGGTGCTCAGATCATCATCAGTTAAATAAACTCACTTTTAAATCATTGGATCTTGCATAGGGTTTTACATTTCTGCTCTGAGGCTCTTTTCTCATGACTGGATGAGTGCAAAGCTGGCATACATTTGCTTCCCATTTGTTTTGCATTATCTGCACAACTCCCTTTAGGTTGTGTTTCTCTCACAGGGATGAAGCCCACAGACTGCATTCACACCATACTTTAAAAGCACTCTCCTCCCCAAGAATCCTGGGAATTGTAGTTTGTTAAGGGTGTTGCAAATTGCAGCTGTGTTAGCAATAAACTACAGCTCCCGTGATTTATTCTTTTTGCTGGGAGGGGAATATGTTTTAAATGTGCTTTAAATGTATGGTGTTTACACAGCCAAAACATATTAAAAGAAGCAACAAAAACGTACATGGAAACAGTGATTCTTCTCCTGGGTAACCTGTTCATTGTGGCTGTGATTCCTTGGTCAAGCATGGCTTCAGCCTGCACTCCTGTGAGCTTAGTGAACATAGAAAGTTGTCTTACATGGAGATAGAACCTTGGTCCATCTAGCTTTGACTGGCAGTTGCTCCCCAGGGTTTCAAGACAAGGCTCTCTCTGTCTTAACCTGGAGATGTCATTGGGGATTAAACCTGGAACCTTCTGCATGGTCTACCACTGAGCTACAGCCCTTCCAGCAAACTCATTGCAGCTCATTTCAGGGAGGGACAACACTATTTGACAGCACAGAACTCCAGCACAGTAGTGATCCTCCACTTTTGGTTTAAGAAGCTGGAAACACTAGCAAGGCCCTTTCCCCTCAATTCCTGCCCCAAGATTTGGTGATTATACTAGCTGAGGCAGTTCCTGCACTTGAATGCAAAGCTAGCCAGGCAGCTAAGGATGGGGAGCCAAGGGCAGGCAGGAATGTGCCCCTAAGCTATTGCCATTGAGATGCGAACAGCTGAAAAATGCAGAGACCACCTCCAGGTGCCTCAGGAGAAGAGAGACCCCAGGCACATTCCTTGCAGTTCCTTTGGTGACACATTAACTGTTGCCCAAGGAACAGGCCAGACTGAACCCTACCCTTCACTCACAAGAGAAAAGCTTCTGTACGTACAAATTATTTTGCGTGTGTCTGGAGGGGATTTATCAACAATA